GCTCGTGAGATAACGTTACCCCGATTTTTAATAGGAGCACCGAGGGTTCTTGGGCCACGCTCCTCCTCGCGCTCCGCGTTGCCAACATTGTAATGGGATTAGTCGCGTTATTAGGGGTTTAAAATCACGGCGACGTTTCCTCTGATCTTCCGCGTGTTCCGACTACGTTTACCAGTCTCTTTGGCGACAAGTGCTCACATTATTGGGTTGTAGCGTAAATGGGATAGGATATATTCAATATCTTTTTTATAGGCGTTGTTAGTTTCACGAAGCAGTGAAACTGTGTTCGATTTAAACTGACTGGAAGTTACTTCTTGCTCGTTTTAATTGTATAGATTTGATGTAAGTCGTAATGAAATTTTTCGTTGTAATGAAGTTTCCATTGGTGAAATGTGTATTTTATACGCTTTGTGCGGAGAAGGTGAAACTAGCACGTGAATTCTAATTGGTTCAATTAATTTTTCTTTTTAATAAAATTACGTAGCGCGCCGTTATAATTTGATAAACACGCCGAGCGTGTAAAAATGTACGGACGTAATTGCACGGATAAATTGAGCATACGAAAGTGACCAAAAAATATATGCATGTAAGGATACTGTGTTGCATTCGACCTGGTTTCCAAGTAACTGGGATTTATTTTATATTTCAACAGTTCCCGGGTAAATTCAGCCGGCGTGTTTATTGTAGAAGTTTGTTCAGAAAGGAACAGCTACGAATCGCAAGTTGAATTTTTAATACGGAGTATATATTAACCTCTTTAATTGTATACTTTATTAATTGAAACACAAGCATGTCCCATATTTCCATACCTATCTGCGAATTCACTTTTTACTCATAAAGATATTAGTCTTAGATCTTACATAGCTTTTGAACTTAGGTTGCAGCTATTAAAGGTGACATCTTACAATTATTAATAATCATAAGTTAGATTATTAATAACCGTTGTCTAAAATTTACTCATATTCTGAAGTCAAAACTTCAGTGGCCATTTTCAACTATTATACATAAATAAACAATGGTAACGATCAATTTATTTATCGTCGAACACGATTTACCTGAAACACGTGACAGGTGCAGAAGGGTTCGATCCCATTCACACGAAAATTTAACACGACCGTCGAAGCGGCGATCGTAGACAATAGCGATAATTGCTAGTGGACGCAACGTTCTACGTTAAATATTAATTTTCCGGTTAGCGAGCACCCGTGCCTTTTACGACACGGTCGATAAAGCGGCCACGAGTAATCAAGAAATTATATAGTGCAACTTATGGCCGCATCATTTTGTCTTGCGTTTACCACCGGTTTCAAATGTTCATTACCAAAATGATGTTGTTTCACAGCTTTGAGTTCTATAATAGCTTGATTGGATTGCGATTAAAACCTTCGTTTGCTTCCTTCACTGGATATTTGTAAATCCTTATTCCGTTTGTATCATTAGCAGATGTAAACTCTTACATCACGTTCAGGTTGTCAATGAATTGCACAATTAACACGAACATATTTTTTGTTACTGTATTACTGGGTAAATGAAACATATTTTCCATATCTTTTAATTTAACCAGCGACACTTCATTAAATTGAAATTTATTACTGTGAAACGTATTTTAAATTACCTTTTTAAATGCTCGTATTTAGGTGCAATAAAAGAAATTTTGGATAAAAACACATTTTGCACATTTCCGCGCGATGCAAATGGGTTAATGTGAAACATGTTCACGGCCATATCCCTGAAGCCCGACCACCATTTAATTAGATTCTATTATCATTTGGATAGAAATTGTGATAGAAATTTATTCTGTAATCTTCACGCTCTAGTTTACGTAACGAGGCAGGGTCACCTGGTTCCTATATCTTTCGATCGTGATTCGATTATGTGATAAATTTGTTCATGTTATGATAGCTGAATAATCGTAACGTGCTGATCTTCCAAGAGAAGAATAATTCTGGAAACAATATGTTTCGTATAATCGTTTGAGCTCGAGTGCCTCGATAGTTGAAATAATTCGAAGACTTGGCATAACAAAGATCATTCAAATTTTCAGCCGCTGAAAGGAGTACGGGTTGCAAGTAATTACGCAATTTTCACAGGAAACTCGTATCGATATTCCAATGTACTTTCCAATTACCGGCGTACGCCGAGTTTCGTTAAGTAAGCTTCTCTTATTGCGAGCAAACATTTGTGTATGGTTCTCCGTATCAATCGAAAAGGTATATAAAATAAAGCAGTAGAGGTATAGCAGGAAGACACGAGTATTATTCGGGTAAAAACATTTTTTTGTAACAGGATAATAATCTTTCGTGACAACAAATTTCATTTATTTCAATATAAATTAAGGATATTGTCTAGAATAGTTATTTAAATGTATACTCCATTGATATAACAATTTCACATTGCGTTACTATTACCAGAAATTAGCGTTCTACTTTAAATAAACATGGAAATTTTATGTATACACAAAATTCAAAGAAGTATAGTTGGATTGTTTTTATTATTAATTGTGAAATTCATTTGTTGGTAAATTTATCTTGAGTTAATCATACAAATCCATTTAAAGGGAATAGAGTAAATTGTATTTACGGGAATTAATGTAATTCCTTTGTAATTATTAAATTTGAGAATAATAAAGTCTGCAGTAAAACTTTTGTATTTTTCTTGTTTTCCTCGTCCAAAATAGATATCGAGTTTGATCTTTCCCGTTTCTTTTATTAAATTTCAGCCAGTAACAATATCACAGATAAAAGATAAAAATATAAAGATAGAAATCTGATTCGAATAAAATTGTTTAATTAATATTAACGAATGAGTAGTCAACAGGATAAAGACTTATTTAGTTAATTATCTAAGACAAATATTTTTTCGAAATCATCTGAATAATATCCAATTTTGATTTCAATGTGATACAATATGTATTTTCATACTCCATCTGATTTCCGTGAACTTGTTGATGTTGTTGCGATTCACGCCATCACGTCGATAAGCAATTGAATTTGTATTCCTCTTCCGTCGCGTTTCCAGAGATTGCATTGAAAAGGTATACGCTTTCTAAGCGACGGAACACTTTCCTGAGAACGCAAATCGTTGGAAGGAAAAGGAAGAAAAAAGTTGCGGCGGCTCAGGTAGCCTCAAGATTTGATTTCAATCCTGAGTATCGATGTCGTCAGAAATAAAGTTGTTATCGAACGATTTCGATACGCTTCATAAAAACGGCATTGATATATATCATGCATTTTTATGGATCTACAGTGTGCTGTAGCAGAACTGATCCTATGTTTTAGTACAAAATTTATATTCTGTAAGTTTTATATATTTATATTAAGCAGTTGTAAGTTGTCAAAAGTCTTAGAGTCCATTATTTGACATTTTTTAAACATATTCAAGTCAGTACAACAAATGAGTAAAAATGAATTCCATGTGGTCGCACAAAGGGCAAGAATAGTGCAGCAAATTCACTATAAATTTAGGTACAAAGTGAATTTGTTCACCTTACACAAGGTTATCCATTAAATCAAATTTCGTAATTATGGGGACTATTAATGACACTTTCCCTAACCGCACTGGATATTACCTGCGCCTCGGCCGTCTCCTCCCACTAACTTATCTTGATTGCCCGCATAGATTCTTCAGCACGCTTTGTAGGGATCTGGGCGATAATCGCCAACGAGTAAAATGTGTGTACTACATTCCGCCATTTCTCGTGGAATATTGATTGAAAAATACCTCTTCTGTTCCCGTTATCTTGGTAATTTGAGTTCATTAACTGGGCAGAAAGTCTAACGAATATTGTCCCGTGTAGTTTACGACATGCAATGAAATTTCTCACAAAATGATCAAAATCTGTCCTAAATATAAAATTTTCGAGAATGCGTGTGTAAGAGTATTATGTATAAAATGATGCCGGAAGGAATAAAAGAATTATCATCGAAAGAACAGTGAGCCAACAAAAAGCAAGCGGTGACAGTATTTTTTGCATAGTGAGAATGAAAGGAAACAAATTTCTACATATATTAAGTAATTAATAAGTTTATACAGACGATAAATTTTAAGCAAAATAATTTTATAAAAATAGGATCAACACAATTATTTCTCGTTGGCAAAAGATGGATCATAAAGATGATTATTAAAAATTCTTGTATCTATTGAACTCTTATTCCGAAGAATTCCGCAAACTTTTGTTACCTAATCAAGTAATCACGCAGCAGAAGAATAACCATTGTAACATTCGAAATTCATACACCAAGCAGCACTACAGTTAGAATCTAATCGTATACACCGTCAAAGCGAGACACACAAAGCATTTACGGTCCCCGTGGCGTCCATGGTCGTGGTATCCGGTGAGTCCGAGGATCATTTCCGGCGATTTAAAGTCATACTTCAAAATCATCGCGGGGAACGAATGCGCAGGGAAATAACGAGTAGACAGTCGCAGGGGTTGGCCCCGCGGGCCAATAATAGTGGAAAGATGGGTACCGGGGGTTAGTATAAAGTTTCCGGACATATTAGCCACCCGTCGAATTAGCGTTGCGAGAAAATGCCCTGCTCGGTGTCGATCCCAGGGGAGGCGATCCGCTCGTGGTCCCCCCTCTCGTTGCTTTTTGGGGTGAGCCAGGAAAGAGGGCACCCTCGAGAAAGGGCGGGGCCCTCAACAAAAGGGGCCCCGAAGAAAACCAACCCCTGGGTGGAGTTAGCACCCCGTATATATTCTTCCGGAATGATCCCTCGGGGTGCAGAACACGGTGTACCATCATGCCGTGAACATCTCGTGATTCCTCGATACTTTGACATTCAAAAAACAATATTTCCACAGTCTACCAAGTGTTCCTTAAAATCCCGTGATACTTTTATTCGATAATAGAACGGTTCAGTTACTACGTGACATCCAGTGTACCGATGGGACTCTAGTGCAGAATAGAGTTTTAGTGGCCGAAGGATTGATCAGTGTTCTCTTGTGAATTAGAACGAGGCTGTAAAGCAACACGAGAGAAGATTAAGCAGCAATCATGTCCCGAAGTTTCCTCGTGGACTCACTAATCGGCAACAACTCGCCACCAGCGTATCCATTACCTTACTACGGAAATCAATTGCCAAGCTATATGTTTAACTTTTTTAATCTGGGTCTGGGCTATCAGCCGATTAGACCGGTGCCTAGGCCGGCCGCCATGTCTGTCCCGGTTCCCATTAGCCCGCCGGCTTCTTTGGGGAACTTGCCTGTTCCTGGTCAAAGTCCTCCGTCGCCTTTGAACACTTCGGCTAGCAGGCTGTCAGGTAATTATCCTTCTATTAGATATATAAATATTGATGATAGAAAGCTACTAAAGGTCTTTTTTTCACTTGTATCGTGATTAACGGACGATCGAAGCTAAGAACATTTTGGGTTTACAGATGTTTCAGTTCCGAGCGAATCGCCGTCCAGAAACAGCACCCCAACTCCACCTCCGAAATCACCGAATTCCATGGGGAACAGCTCGAAGAGGATTCGCACCGCTTTCACCAGTACTCAGTTGTTAGAGCTGGAACGCGAATTCGCTTCGAACATGTATCTATCACGACTACGAAGGATCGAGATCGCGACAAACTTGAGGCTGTCCGAGAAGCAGGTGAAGATCTGGTTCCAGAATCGCAGGGTGAAGTACAAGAAAGAAGACTTGCCTGCTGGCCAGAGTCAAAAATGTTGCTGCCTCAGGACTTGTGGGAAGAAGAAGGACGGATGTGAAGATGCATCTAATCGGAAGTGTGAAGACGAAGAAAAATCGTTGAAGAATGAGAAAGCGGAAACATCCGCGGACCTGGTTAGCCATGAAGAATCTTCCAATCCTATAACAGAAGGGTTCGAGCGATCGATAACGTTGCCGCAGGACAATTTGCACATCCATCAGAATACCGAAGAAAAATTAAATGTTCCGAGGGTCAGTCCTGTTCCCGAATATCCTGGTTATGAGGCAGTGGCGCACAATTTATCCAGGACTTTGAAGAGGACCATGAGCGAGCGAGAGGAGCCGGACGATAAAAAGAGACGGATCGACAGCTTGGTTGCTTATCAGAACACGATTCAGGACACCGTTGGCCCAGTGTTCAGGAACATTGGATGTACTAAGCATACCGTAGAAAGAATTGTTAATTCTTAGAGAACAAACAGGATTGTTTACAATCCTTGACACACTTGCATTTCGATGTAAATACGTTGCTCTGGGCTTTGTAAATATTGTATTATAGATATATTTTTGTACGATTGAGATAGCAGTATCGGAACCAAAAGGCTGTATATTTTTAATATAAGTTACAGATAAATAAAATGGATCTTTTATATATTCAAGGCTGTGTTATGGTTTATTTGTGCGATTAAAAGTTCTCTGTACGCATTGTCGAAGGTCCAGGAAATGTTATCTAGATTCAATAGTATCATCAGTTGTAAACAGTTTCATGATTCAACAACAATATAATATTACACTTGCGTAAATATTAATTAATTCGTGGTTTGACAGGAAATTCAGGATAAATTGTAGGTTGGGTTGGTTGGTAAATATGTTATTATTTGCATTTGGAGAGTCTTCTGGCTGTAGTCTCGTAACGAATGAGACGATCGATGATATATCATTGCAGTAACCATGTGATCATTGATTTCTGTAGGTTGTTTGTTATCTCAGTTTGTTCAGGTTTTATGTTTTCGTTTTGGGTCATTCATACGTGAAAAGTACTACGAGAGGACGACGCTGTGTTTATTTACGTTGGTATCGGAAATTTAGTGCACGCAAATTCCTGCGGATAAATACACGTTTTCCTTTTGGACATGATATTCCACGAATGCGTCACCGACAACGACAGAAAACACGAAACGAAAAATTCGAGTGACTCGTGCACGTTGTGTAACGCGAGGGGTCGATTAAAAAAACCGAAATCAAAGTGGTATGGTTTGAAGCATGCAGTTTATATGAGCCTATCGTCGATTACTTTGAATTATTCATAGCATTTATTATTGTCCTCTTGAGTGTTCAACTAATATTTACTTACCCTGCTTCATTTTTTAGTTGATGAAAAGAATATCAATTTATTACAAATCAAACAAATACACACCCAATGGTAATCTTTTTTATTTCTTTATCACATTTCTAACAATTCATCACTCCCATTTATTCTCATTTTTTCTCTATTCGTTTTTGATTGATTTTTTGTTTGTCATATACAATTTACAAACCGAAGAAAATCACTGTTGTTATATTTCATCCGAGATACGGACTAAATGAAGAATGAATAAATAACAAAATATTGCAGTAACAAATGTCCACCATTCGTAAGCAATTCAATTCAAATCACCACAAATATTTTTACAAGAAAGTATCACAAGATTCAACTACTAGTTACCAACATGCAAAATATGTATCAGTCAGTGTTACAATTCTCCAATCAGAAGTAAAAGTCGCACAATAGAATGACCAAGGAAACAATTCTCCTAATCCGGCTCAACCTAAAACGGATTAAAGAAACTGAACTGGAAGCAGGAAGGAAGAAAGTATGAGATGACGACAGCAGGCAAGAGAAAGAGAGAGAAGGGTGAACGAAGGACACGGAGGGCTGGAGGATCTCAAAACGCGTAGTCGTAGCCGCCGCGTTCGAGTTATTGTTGGCGAGAAATCGGCCGTGATGCCGTAAATCCTGGAAATTTGTCAAGAGGCCCCCACTTTGGGTTAAATTTAAGGTAAAACGTAGTTAATGGTGTTAAGGAGCTGCTCGACAATGCCAGGAGGCACTCTCGTATTCTCGTCGATCGACAATGGGACACTTGTGTTGCCTTCGTTCGCGCAGCGGGCGAACTGAACGTGAAAATCGGCTGCCCTTTTTTTCGGTCCCTGGAGTTCGTCGGGGTCCCATTCACCTGGAACCCCGAAAAGTTCTCTTGGAGTTTGCCGTTCTCCGGTACACGCTCATTCATCTGGGCGTCGCGTAGCTAGACAGGAGCCAACCGATGAATGACCGGCTCCGGGAAAAGTCCGAATCAAAAAATTGTCACCCTCGCGCTCCGGCCAACTTCCTTTCTTTCGTTCTTTCTTTCTTATCCCTGGTTCCTGGGAGACGTACCCGGGTTAAGGATGGCTCGAAACTTTTGACGATCGGTTCATTGAGTTTAAAGAACGTTTAGCGGGCCTGCAGCGCGAGCTTGACTCCAAATTTCGCGGTCCTTTAACGCATACACGGCCACTTCAGGTCGTGTTTTGTTTGAATTTTCGTTGTCGAATGGACCCTGCTGAAAATGCTTCAAAGTATCGTCGCTATTCGAGATGAGTGTGTCATAGTTTATTAATGAGTTTATTGCTCGAGAATGGGGAACGGGAGAAATATAATAGAATGTTTGCTGTATGCGGACTAGGTTTTGATTTTCAATTACAGGGCTGAAATACGTTAATGGGAAGTTGAATAAAATATAATAAATTTCCAAGTTTGGATAATTCTCATTAGTATATGAAATTTCGATTGTTCGAATTTTTTAGTATGTCGGATGTTTGTGCCACGTAGACATTAAAATTTGTAAAGTGAAAACAGAAGTGCTGCGAGATGCGTGTTTTAGGCGTGATAATGCGAGGAATTGCACGATTCACTCTGTGGCTTTCAATTACTTTGCTCCGCAAACGAGCTTGTTTTATTACGTACGAAGTCGGCTAATGAAAGAGCATATCTCGACGTCGTAATTACGTTACCGTTAGAGCGTACGGTGAATTTTCATCTCCGCTCACGACCAAATACAGTTGCCTAGAGGAACAAATAATCAGTTTAGACAGTGTACCGTGCGTGACATGGCAGAGAATGTTGCGGTTGATTATAGTGGACGTACAGGTGGATTTCCAGGGACCAAGAAAGGTTGTACCATAAAGCTTAATGAAAAGTAGCATTTAATCTAATCATTTTATCATCACATCATCCCTTGTATTCGAATGCAAGCTGAATAATGAAGCAAATGCAAGAACCGCAACTGAGAAGTAGATTGAAAATTGTCTTCGGATTGACGATACATCTTATATTAACAAATTCGGTAAAGATGAAAACTGTAGTCCTCTGAAACGAATCCTGCGGTCTCTTTTGAAATTATAGTATTGCCTTAGTAATTACAGTGTTGCAACAGAAACTATAGTGTCAACTTGATAACTACGATATTAACGTAGAAATTATGTAGCTTACAAGATCGAATTGAGTATTACAGTTGACTGTTACGTCAAAAAATTTAAATTCATTCACTTTTAAACTAGCTTTCATCTACATAAAACCTGCCAAGAGATTCGCACATCTATACAAATGCTAATCAACAATTATCCAGTTCAACAAATAAGAAAATCCATGCCCAAAAGATCGATTGACCACCCAACTCGTTGAATAAACATAACCTCGAAAATCGGCTGTTGAAAAAGCTTCCATGACGCGGTGCCGATATCTGACTAAACCACGCACAGTCCGCGTATTCCTCCTAATAATCGAAACTCTGAATCTCGATCGAGCACTCGGTACGGCACCGGATTGCGATCCGTAAATTCTGTATCGACCTAAATGATTCTGCGACGGCAGCATCGCTGGGTGTTCGAGCTGCAATTCAATTTTCCGGGTTCTCGCACCCCCGACACGCTCCCGGATTCAATCCCGATCCTTGGGTACGTGAGCGATATGCGAATACACTGGCCGCCGGATCCTCTGCACATCCATTAACATTTGAACCATTTTAGGGGACAGAGCTACGTATCCAGCCGGCTAACGAGGAGTCGGATAATTAGACATGTTTCGCCTTGGCGAGCCCTGGCGAGACTCCCACCGAATGTGAATTAAACCTAACCAAGGGACGTTGCGTTGACGGACTGATCTTATTACCTGCATGGAGCCAGGCAAGCGACCTCGGACGCTAGAATCACGGATGTTTCCCATGGAAACTTCGCAAACACCATGCACCACAAGGCTGACAGTTTCATTGTCCCGAGGACGTTGTGGTTATTGTACCTCGGGAACGCGTCGCCGATTATATTACCGTAATCGCTATTGGAATTGCAATTACGGGACCGTTTCATTAATTACGGTGAACCGTCATTGCGATTGATTCGTAATAAATTTGTATTGGCCGTGGAAATCATCGGTGTCGAATAATTTCGTCGATTCGATTACGCTCGCACACTACGTATAGCAGCGCAACAGCGAGTCAAAGGGATGATCTTCATTTGGGGATGAGCCGCGCGTAATTCAGTCGTGCGACTGGATACAGAACGGATGCTGTCGCTTGTATTGGACTGGCCTACAACGCTACCATGTACTACGTCTTTGACTTCGCTTTCTACGACGGTATCTATCATTGAATGGAGCACATTGAAGGTCCTATAATTCGAATGGCTTATGTGGCTCGGCGAAGCAATGGCGAGTCTCTGCGGTGTTCGTGTTATCTGTGGCTAATAGTGCAGTGCAAATGGACAAGAGCTAGTTCCTTATCAACAAACAAATAGTATAGGATGATGAAAAATATAATTTAACTAAGTGTAATTGCTAACAAATCTGTCTTCTAACACACTCCCTGAATTATAGAAAATTTTGTAAAATAATCGGAGAACAATGAAACGCTAAAATTAAAACTTGACTACCTCAAAGTACCAATTTAATAGAGAAAAATAAAAAGTAGTGACTTACGAAACGTATAATAGATGGCCAGTTTAACCAAGCAAGGAAAGAAGAAAATCTCTCTTGAATTTATTCATACGCCAGAAATCACCCCCCGTCGTTTCGCTTCGCTCTGTAGTTTCGGTTGCAGCCGGTATGGACGGTCACCGAGACAATTTCACACGACGTCTAAATGGTAACCGCGTTTCCCTGTTTCGCGTTCCTAACCAAAAATAGTGGAACTGTTCGTGGCGTTGTCCTGGGGTACGTGGAGTGGGTATTAATGAGTCCGAACGACTCGCGACCACTCGAGAAAAACTGCGGTCCTCGAGTCCACTGGGGAGGAAACCGCAACGGTTTCTCGCGCTCGGAAACAAACGAACGCGTCGCTGAAGGGAGAAGACGAGACGCGATTCGCCAGCATCGGAGAAAGACGGAACGAGAGAGCACCTGGGGGAAGAGAGAAGGACGGCCGGTGAGTCGCAGCGTTCCGGTTCCGGAGCGTTAA